GTCCAATCAAAGAAGATTGCTACTCGCTACAGTATATGAATTTTACAATGTGTACTCTTGTTACAGAGACGCAAAGCCATTCTTATGCAACAATGTGTACTCTTGTTACAGAGACGCAAAGCCATTCTTAAGCAACAATGTGTACTCTTGTTACAGAGACGCAAAGCCATTCTTATGCAACAATGTGTACTCTTGTTACAGAGACGCAAAGCCATTCTTATGCAACAATGTGTACTATTGTTACAGAGACGCAAAGCCATTCTTATGCATATGCAAACCAGGCTATCGCCTATGGCCCCACTGCCAAATTACATTGTCACCAAGAGTTCTGTTCTATTGCAAGCCACTTTATTACATCCAAAAATTCCTAAACAAATTTCTCACTTTCCTATCTCCATTAAAAATATATTTCATGCGCGTATGAAGACACACTTTGATAAAATATATCTACGATTAATACATCATTTTCATAATGAAACCCCTACGTTAAATAAAAAAAAATCATCTATTCTTTTTTTTCAATGAACCTTCAAGTAACACTTCATGACTTAATGCAGTCAAGTGATGCACCAGGGCTTGCGATCGAGATTTTCACTCCAACTGCCACTACCTTCCATTTAACTTAAACACTCACCTCAGCCACCATCTTCCTTTAACCCTCACCATTCCCCCAGCCACAATCTTCCTTTGACACGCACCATCTGTCCCAACCACTGTCTTTCTCTATACCCGTCATTTCCCACGACCACCATATTCCATTGACACCCGCCAGTTTCCCCAGCCATCGTCTTCTTTCAATACTCCCCCCCCCCCAAATCAAACCAAAAGAGCCATGGTCTGCAACCAAACAGTCACCATTCTCCTACTAATTCCACTAATAGTCCCCCAGCCACCATCTTCCTTTGACCCGCACCATCTGTCCCAACCACTGTCTTTCTCTATACCCGTCATTTCCCACGACCACCCTATTCCCTTGACACCCGCCAGTTTCCCCAGCCATCGTCTTCTTTCAATACTCCCCCCCCCCCCAAATCAAACCAAAAGAGCCATGGTCTGCAACCAAACAGTCACCATTCTCCTACTAATTCCACTAATAGCATGCCATCAAATGTGTATGGCTAAATAAATATATTTTAAAACAAAACTAAATGATCTTGTAAAGAGCTTAGCTTACAACTCAGATATTTAATTTCAACTTCAACTGGTGTTTTACCTTTTGAATGAGTTTTTGTGCTATAACTATAATGGTCAAAATCTGTTTAAGTACGTACAACCACAATTCCTAAACTGTGAGAAAAGATGCTCAGATGTTGCATGGCTCAGTAACAAGATATATCTGTACACTATAAATTTTGGTAGAAAGAAAATTCAGGACTTCAGTTTTTAACTTAATGCCAATTCTCAGCTTAATTTCGCATGTCATTTCCTCTTTTTTGATAAAATAACAGTAAAAAATGATGACGAAATCTCACAAATTTAAATAGAACTGCCATTTTCCTCAGATTTTTTAAAAATAAAATAGCGGTAAAAATGATGACGCAATATGACTAATTTAAATAGAACCTCCTCGGAAACCGCTTCGTTTTTTCCACAAAATAAATATTATAATTTATTTAAGGAATGTTGCATAGCTACTATAACATAATTATGCATTTTTATTAAAGGGTTATCAATGATAAATTAAATTAAAACGTCCACACAACAGGTGTGCAGGTCCACACAACAAACGTCCTACAGGTCCACACAACAAACGTCCTACAGGTCCACACAACAAACGTCCTACAGGTCCACACAACAAACGTCCTACAGGTCCACACAACAAACGTCCTACAGGTCCACACAATAAACGTCCTACAGGTCCACACAACAAACGTCCTACAGGTCCACACAACAAACGTCCTACAGGTCATCACAAGAAACGTCCTACAGGTCCACACAAGAAACGTCCTACAGGTCAACACAAGAAACTACAAACGTCCTACAGGTCCACACAACAAACGTCCTACAGGTCCACACAACAAACGTCCTACAGGTCCACACAACAAACGTCCTACAGGTCCACACAACAAACGTCCTACAGGTCATCACAAGAAACGTCCTACAGGTCCACACAAGAAACGTCCTACAGGTCAACACAAGAAACGTCCTACAGGTCATCACAAGAAACGTCCTACAGGTCCACACAAGAAACGTCCTACAGGTCAACACAAGAAACGTCCTGCAGGTCCACAAACAAACGTCCTACAGGTCCACACAACAAACGTCCTACAGGTCCACACAACAAACGTCCTGCAGGTCCACAAACAAACGTCCTGCAGGTCCACACAACAAACGTCCTACAGGTCCACACAACAAACGTCCTACAGGTCCACAAAACAAACGTCTTACAGGTCCTCACAACAAATGCCCTGCAGGTCCACAGAAAAACGTCCATCACGTCCACAGAACAAACCTGCTGCAGTTCCACAACCCCCCCCCTGCAACTCCACACAACAAAAGCCCGTTAGGTCAATAAACTACTGGTATTAGGTATTGGTCGTAGTGGTATTTACTTTGTTATGGAAACGACGTGTTTGCGTCATCTTTCCCTGTGAATGAACTCTAGCTGACCCCCAAGCAGCTCGGTAACCCAGTTTAGTGTGTGGCGAAATCAAAATGGTCCCTTTGTCCTTGTTTACGGCTAAATAAAACCTATAGCCTGTATTTTTAGATTTCTGTAGACAAATCTAGACAAATCAGGAACGGAAAACAATGTGTAAGCCCTTTCTAGAAATATCAGTAAAACTATAAAAGGAAGAGAGATATTTTGGGGGAGCATAACGATTACGATAGAGATTTGCTATACGAGACAGGGATTTGCTATACGAGACAGAGATTTGCTATACGAGACAGAGATTTGCTATACGAGACAGGGATTTGCTGTACGAGACAGAGATTTGTTTGCTACATTTGATGTGTGCGTGTGTGTAGATTCCTTTTTCATCATTGTACATTTTACAACAATGAGTTTGTATCTTCTTCAACCTTGTAATTGTACCGTGACAAGCCAATTATTTATTATACTGTAAATCAATAGTTTTAATTTAATTTTACTTTAGATTTTGCAATTCATTATCAACTTAATAAAATTTATTAATTGTAATTTAATTAGTCCTAATTTGGATTTCTTTTTTCTTTTATTGTATCATCTTTTGTTGTGTACGGTTTTAGAACCAGCCATATGCTTAAATTCACATAAGAGATTAATTTCATTAATCTCTCCATACGGATAACAGTACTTAGCACTTTCAAACAGCACTATCACTAACCCCCCTCCCCCCCCTCAAACAAAAAAAAAAAATAGGACTGAGCCATGTGCAGTTCTTGTCCAGGTATTACAATTCAGTATTTATAGAAAACTACACATTTGTTCCACCCACTAGGCTAAAGTGAAAACTGCATGTAAAGAACCAGTCAGGAGCGTCAATCCCCACTGAGTGAGGGAAGCTTACCCCATCTATTGGATTTTATTGAATACAGAGGGTCATGATATTGGTATTTACTTCTAGAGTTCACTTCTTCTATGAATATTTATTAGTAATAGTAATATTAAAAAATAAATTTTTAGCTTATTGTCGACTATTCAATAATGATAGTCATAACAAATCTTAAAAATTTCGCTCAAAATGATCAAATCCAGCGATTGTTTAAATAATAATGCATTTTGGTAGGTCTATAACTAAATTCAAACGTCGGCTTGCTGGCTGGAGGACACTCAAAGGTCAACTAGTATTGAAACGATCGTGATGGCTTTGATGTAAATATTGTGTCAAATGAAAACATGTGCATTGCAGTTCATCCCCAACATAACCAGGACAAGAAACATTATCACTCGGAGATGGAGTCCCGTAAGCGGCATGACTCAACTCCTGCTGCTAACCAGGCCTTGTGATTTCGTCCCATCGTCCATAGAGTATTTCTGTAGTTACGATCACATTGGAAGACTGCCCAACACTAAAAAATGGCATCTTTTGTCTAACCCAAAGCCACCAACATCCTAATCCTCCAGCTTGAAGCCAAGCAGCGACACATGCATGACTGCTGCTGGCTGCTACAAGTTTTCTTTTTTCTTTTACATATCGTTCCGATCAGATTTTGTGTTTAACATATTATTAAAGCGTGCATAAATACCATTCATTAATTAGTATTAATAAATTCTTCAACAGAAATCAGAAATGATCCGAAAAATGAACTATAATGTTCAACTGGAAGTGTTATGATCACAACGAAAGATATAAATTTTGCAAAGTAAAAAAAAAATCTGTCAAAATTCGTAAAAAGTACATTATTTTCACAGCTTGCAGATTCCTTTTAATTTTAGTTTACTTTTGGTTTCGTAATAACGGTACTCGCTAGTCATTTCTTTCCTTCAGATATCATTGTACCCCAGAAAAATTGACGTTTGAAAACTGTGCATCTAATATATCATGTTAGTTGAACAGCCGGACCCGGTGCCTTCTCATTTGCCGGATCTGGGCAACAACGCGATTCTTCGGTATTACCGGGTATTTTGGTCAGCATCTGGCTCAGTCTTGATAAAAACATTTAACCAATTTGAAATTAAAATAGTTCTGGCTAAATGAAAAAAATGCAATCATGCAATCAACGTAAACTAGAACTAATTTTCTGAAACTTTGCTAAATAATTCATTTTGCAAATAAATTTTTATTTCATAAATATTGCGATTAAATTATTTAATTGTACTAATATAATTGCATTTGGCTTGAAAATTCAGAGCGAATATTTGCACATAATTTTAAAAAGATTTAAACATAATTACTTTTTTTTTTAAATTGAGGTAAAAATGGGCACACCATAATGGACAGCCATAAAATTACACTTTCCCCTTTGGAAAGAAAATTACACTATCGGATAATTGTGACAATTGAGCATTCTCTTTTTCTAACATTATTTTTTTAAACAATAATACGTCGAGTCAATGTTTTTTTTTTTTTTTTTTTTTTTTTTTTTTTTTTTTTTTTTTTTGTTGTTGTTTTTTTTTTTGGATAATATCTGTGAATCGACTATATTATGTGGTTTGGTTTATTCTCCATTACAATAAGAATTTTTTTAGATATGATCACATGACAGTGATTGAATCATAAAAAATGTGATTTAATTGCTGGAGACAACACTGTTGGCTTTGAATTTCATCCAGTAACTATATCAAGTGAAACCATATGCGATAAATAACCAAGAATGAGCTAGCAATAGTTTCTTCCGACGCAGGCAAGACACGGGATATCCTTACATTAGACCTAAGTCTCAAGATATTGCCTGTAAGACCATTTACATTCAAGGCCATTTACAATCAATAATATTTACAGCATCCACCGTTTTGAAACCTTCAGTGTGTTACGGGAACCAAACACAAATATGAACATTCTTTGGTTTGAAAAAAAAAAATTTTTTTTTAAATTCTAAAAACTCATGAAGATTCTAAGGTTAAAAAACGCAAGAACATCAGGGCCACCACACGGACAAGTTCTTTCTAAAAACTTAGTGGCAATGTCCTTTCATATAAGAAGTTTTTTTTTTTTTTATAATTAATATATTATGATCACATTTTATTTTTAGAATCAGCGATGTTTTCATCAAGCACATTGAAGCATCATTTCATGTTTCAGATGGTCATGGAATGTATCGCTCTTGGTAGCTTTAGTTCGTACTCACTTTGGATTTTCGAGCTGAAAAAGATATAAAAAAATTTAAGTGATTTTTTTTTTTAAAACGACGACAAACAACAAAACGCGGATTTCGACTTTTCCAATTGCATCACTTCTCTCTAACATCACTTCACCCTGTTTTTACTTACTCTAACATCCCTTCACCCTGTTTTTACTTACTCTAACATCCCTTCACCCTTTTGTCACTTACTCTAAAACTACTTTGCTAGTTTTTCACTTCGCTCTTTCATCAATTCACCCTTTCATCACTTCTCTCTATCATCACTTCACCCTTTCATCACTTCTCTCTACAATCAATTCACTTTTTTTCATCACTTCTCTCTATCATTACTTCACCCTTTCATCACTTCTCTCCACAATCAATTCACTTTTTTCATCAATCATCTCTATAATCACTTTACTCTCTCATGACTTCTCTTTATCATCACTTCACTCTTTCATTACTTCTCTGTATCATAAATTCACGCTTTTATCATTTCTCTCTATCATCACTCCACTCTCTCATTACTTCTCTTTATCATCACTTGTTCTTTTTCATCACGTCTCTCTATCATCACTCTACACATATTCATCACTTCTCTCTAACGTTTTTCTCTTTCGTCACTTCACTCTTTCATAACTGCTCTCTAAATTAATTTCTCTCTATTATCACTGTTATTTACCAACACCTCTCTAAAATCATATCTATCTTGCATCATTTCTAACATCACTTCTAACATCACTTCTCTGAAACGTCAATTATCTCTCATGTCACTTCTCTCTCTCTTGACTTCACTTTTATTTTTACTAATGATGCTTTTTAAAAAAAAAAATATTTTCTATCACTATTCCCAGACCTTAAATCGACCAGTGTGCTGTGAGATGCTCTCCATTAGAATGGAATGTCTTGATTCTATCGAGATATTGAACATTATGTCACACATTTTTTTTTCCTCCAGTTTCGACAATAATATTTAACAAACTTAGTTTCTCCAGTTGCACTTACGTGCTGGTGGCTTATCCAATTGTACTTAAGTGGTGGTGGCTTGTCCAATTGTACTTAAGTGGTGGTGGCTTGTCCAATTATACTTGCGTGCTGATGGTTTATCCCATTATACTTACGTGGCGGTGGTTCATCCAGTTGTACTTACGTGCTGGTGGCTTATCCAATTGTACTTAAGTGGTGGTGGCTTGTCCAATTGTACTTACGTGCTGATGGTTTATCCCAATATACTTACGTGGCGGTGGTTCATCCGGTTGTACTTACGTGGTGGTGGCTTATCCAATACGGCGAACACGACAACAATGAATGAGAACAACCCAGCAGCGACCAGCCCACCAATGAGACCACCGATCAGGCTGTTGTTGGTCCGCTGTATGGTGGACGGCACCATGTTGAGCGGGTCATTGGTGGTCGTCGTGAGGACGAAGTCTTCTTGTGGCCTTGTGGCCTCTGGCGTCAAGACTTCCTCAGGGATGGTGGTGGTGATCATGTCCAAAGTACTGGTTCTTTGAATCGAGATCCCCGTGTTTTGGAGGATGGTCGTCTTGAGAGGCGGCTCTTAGTGGACGATGGAAAGCGTGGAGTTAAAAACTGAACTTTTGAAACGTCCGTGACGTATGGGCGAGTGATTCAAATAACTCTAAATAACCAATAGTTTTCTAATACGTATGGACGAGTGATTCAAATAACTCTAAATAACCAATAGTTTTCTAATACTAATACGTATGGGCGAGTGATTCAAATAACTCTAAATAACCAATAGTTTTCTAATACTAATACGTATGGGCGAGTGATTCAAATAACTCTAAATAACCAATAGTTTTCTAATACTAATACGTATGGGCGAGGGATTCAAATAACTCTAAATAACCAATAGTTTTCTAATACTAATACGTATGGACGAGTGATTCAAATAACTCTAAATAACCAATAGTTTTCTAATACTAATACGTATGGGCGAGGGATTCAAATAACTCTAAATAACCAATAGTTTTCTAATACTAATACTGCAGACAACAATTGGGAGATGAGACATTCTGTATTCTAGTTAAAAAATGTGAACATCTTATGTGGAGAATTAATAATTATTTTTTATTATATAAAAAAGCAAATTATATTAATATATTTTTCCAAAAGCAATGAGAGAACTATTCGCATTACGATTTATATACTTGAAACAATTTTATGATTATCTTTAAAGAATTGAATGACTGACGAAAGATCCTAAGGGGTTAGGTCACCATCTTGAAATTGCTTGGCTAAGAAAAAAAGATATTCTGACACTGTACTGTCGGGCGCTGGTGGTCGTGCACAAGTGTACCCTGCAGTAGCGCTGGTGGTCGTGCACAAGTGTACCCTGCAGTAGCGGTGGTGGTCGTGCACAAATGTACCGTGCACTAGCGGTGGTGGTCGTGCACAAATGTACCGTGCACTAGCGGTGGTGGTCGTGCACAAGTGTACCGTGCACTAGCGGTGGTGGTCGTGCACAAATGTACCGTGCACTAGCGCCCGTACACGGGGCACTCGTGAAGCGAGTCAGTCAAGCACTCTGAGCCAATGTATGCTACAACACTTGTCCAGAATGATGACTTTAAATAGGGTGGTTTGTATTTAGACACGTACGTAGCTCTCATAGTTCTCACAAGACGTGGCCCATACATTAACCATACAATGCATCGTCATAACATTGGCCATGCAATACATTGTTATAACATTGGTCAATACATAACCCTAACATTAGCCATGCAATACATTGTCATACAATTGGCCACACAACACAGTGTGACTCACCCTCTTCATTAATAAAAAAGTTCATGGTAAATGTTTCCGGGCAGCTTTCCGAACAGTTTCCTTCCTCTCCAAAGCATACACACATTTTGGCATTGCTATTCAGGCGGACCTGAAATAAGACAAATCAAACAGTCTGAGCAGTCAAAAACTATCCATTATCCCCGCCCACCCCCCCCCAATAAAAAAATAAAGCCCATAACATCAAAATAGACCTAAATGTTAAAGACCGGCCATTAAATCAGAATAGACCTCAAAGTTAAATACTCTAACCATTCTATGGAAACTTATTTCTCAACCCACTGTCCATGATCTAGGTCAGTGCCTCTAAAAGTGGGTGATACAGCCCCAGGGGCGTTAGGTTGTCCCATGGACGTTAGGTGTTCCCATGGGCGTTAGGTTGTCCCATGGGCGTTAGGTGGTCCCATGGGCGTTAGGTGCTCCCATGGGGTACCCTGGAGAGCTCTAAAGATTTATTTTAAGGGTGCTCTTGGATTACAAGGTGACTTAGATAACTCAAACCTACCATAACTTGAACCCACCATAACTTGAACCTACCATAACTTTACCTACCATAACTTGAACCTACCATAACTTGAACCCACCATCACTTGAACCTACCATAACTTGAACCTACCATAACTTGAACCTACCATAACTTGAACCTACCATAACTTGAACCTACCATAACTTGAACCTACCATAACTTGAACCTACCATAACTTGAACCTACTATGACTTGAACCTACCATAACTTGAACCTATCATAACTTGAACCTACCATAACTTGAACCCACCATAACTTGAACCCACCATAACTTGAACCCACCATGACTTGAACCCACCATAACTTGAACCTACCATAACTTGAACCTACCATAACTTGAACCCACCATGACTTGAACCCACCATAACTTGAACCTACCATAACTTGAACCTACCATAACTTGAACCTACCATAACTTGAACCTACCATGACTTGAACCTACCATAACTTGAACTTATCATAACTTGAACCCACCATAACTTGAACCCACCATAACTTGAACCTACCATAACTTGAATCTACCATAACTTGAACCTACCATAACTTGAACCTACCATGACTTGAACCTACCATAACTTGAACCTATCATAACTTGAACCCACCATAACTTGAACCCACCATAACTTGAACCCACTATGACTTGAACCTACCATAACTTGAACCTACCATAACTTGAACCTACCATAACTTGAACCTACCATAACTTGAACCTACCATAACTTGAACCTACCATAACTTCAACCTACCATAACTTCAACCTACCATGACTTGAACCTACCATAACTTGAACCTACCATAACTTGAACCTACCATAACTTGAACCCACCATAACTTGAACCCACCATAACTTGAACCCACCATAACTTGAACCCACCATGACTTGAACCCACCATAACTTGAACCTACCATAACTTGAACCTACCATAACTTGAACCCACCATGACTTGAACCCACCATAACTTGAACCTACCATAACTTGAACCTACAATAGCTTGAACCTACCATGACTTGAATCTACCATAACTTGAACTTATCATAACTTGAACCTACCATAACTTGAACCCACCATAACTTGAACCTACCATAACTTGAACCTACCATAACTTGAACCTACCATAACTTGAACCTACCATGACTTGAACCTACCATAACTTGAACCTATCATAACTTGAACCCACCATAACTTGAACCCACCATAACTTTAACCCACCATGACTTGAACCTACCATAACTTGAACCTACCATAACTTGAACCTACCATAACTTGAACCTACCATGACTTGAACCTACCATAACTTGAACCTATCATAACTTGAACCTACCATAACTTGAACCCATCATAACTTGAACCTACCATAACTTGAACCTACCATAACTGAACCTACCATAACTTGAACCTACCATAACTTGAACCTACCATGACTTGAACTAACCATAACTTGAACCTACCATAACTTGAACCTACCATAACTTGATAAGTGCCTTTGAAAAGTCGAGTCATAAGAACAAATGTTTGACTTTCATTCACTGACTGTGAAATGAAATTGAAAACAACAAAATGATAAATTGCATGATGTTCAATCAGTAAGAACGTTTTCTGACTAAAGGCATCAGTAAAAATGAATTTCTAAAAATCGTAAGGCCCAACTACTACCAGTCAAAACGTCTGTCTATATCAATCAAGAATTTTAAAAGGAACGCAAAAGTGCGTTGAAATGAGATTCCCCTCCCCCCCCCCCAACCACACTTTTCTCTCGAATATTTCTAAAAATCGTAAGGCCCAACTAACACCAGTCAAAACGTCTGTCTATATCCATCAAGAATTTTAAAAGGAACGCAAAAGTGCGTTGAAATGAGATTCCCCTCCCCCCCCCCCAACCACACTTTTCTCTCGAAAATATTAAAAATGATGTCACTGGTTATCTTACAGTCTTTTTAGCGTCACAAATTACTGTCACATAATACTGTCACTAAATTACTGTCACTCATTACAGTCACCAGGTTACTAAATAACTGTCACTCAATTACTGTCGCTTAATTACTGTCTCTAAATTCCTTTCACTCAACTTCTTTCACTTAATTACTATGTTACATACTGTTATCAACATGGAGAAATTAATCTTTTGTTTAAGTATATGGCTCGTTCCCCAAAAGTACACAACAGAAGACGATACCATAGCTTAAGTACAATAACAAAGCATACGATACTCAAACCAGGGCTAATTACAATTAATAAATTTTATTATGTTAATTATAAATTACAGAATCAAAAAAGAAATATAATTAAGAGCTATTGATTGTATGATGCTGTACCGGAACAATGTCCAAGATACAATGTTGTAAAAATGTACAATGATGAAAGGGAATCTACATAAAAAAGTAAACAAATCTCTGTCTCGTAGCAAAGCAAAAATAGCACACGTTCAAAAATATCTAATCTGTCTGTCGTCTGGTTTCTGTCGCTCAACCACTCGGCTTTATATAGCCTGTTTATTTAGATAATTCAAGAAGGACTACGCATTGTAATCGTCTCTCAAACCTTCTACAGAATTCTAAAAAATTCTAAGAAAAACAGACTATAGTGTGAGTTGTAACCGAATTCAGAGAGCGACTCAAATAAGTAAGCCAGATCTTCATACCGCAGCAGAACTGGGTCAGCTTAGTTCATTGACCGGAAAAGAAGAATGAAAGTAAATGGGGCGCCCTAACAACTGTCGCTCAAGTACTGGTGGCGAGCCATCAATATTCCCTCTACTTACCGCGACATCATGAACTATATAGCGCTGTTCATTTGTTTCTGTGTTTAACGTGGCGATTTCGTAGGATCTGAATTCTGGTCTTATGCTGAATTGGATTTTCAGTTCTCCGGGGGTAACCAAACGCTGCACCAGGAGATTTGGTCGCCAGTTGCTACTTAAAGGTTCTTCGCCTTGATACAATGGAGAGAGATAGAAAAAGACGTGTGTAGTCCCAGTGCAGCCATTTTTATGTATAAACGGCGCTATCGTGTATATTCCTGTGGCCCTTAACTTGCATCAGAAGCAGGGGAAGATACGGTTTGCCCTGCAGTGACGGCCTTACGGTGGCTTTATCTTCAAGACTAAAATGCGTCTGTCACGGATTGACATGACGGTCCAAAGTTAAACAATTCCAAAATTCAGTGAAGTACTCGAACAAAAATATTTTTTTTTTACATTTTAAATTCAATTATTATAATATTTATCTTTTTAGTGCCACTTTATTAATTTTTGTTTCATTTTCCCAAATTCCAATTTGATAAGAAAAATTAAATTATTCCGTCGCTTCGGGACATTTCCCGAGGGTTACAAGCACCATCTTCAGCACGTACAAAGAGATCATGTCTATCACAACGTACAAAGAGATTATGTCTATCACCACATACAGAGAGATCATGTCTATCACCACGTACAGAGAGATCATGTCTATCACCACATATAGAGAGATCATGTTTATCGCCACGTATAGAGAGATTATGTCTATCACCATGTACAGAGAGATCATGTCTATCACATAGTACAAAAAGATCATTTCTATCACAACGTACAAAGAGATCATGTCTATAACCACATACAGAGAGATCATGTCTATCACAACGTACATTGAGATCATGTCTATCTCCACGTACATTGAGATCATGTCTATCACAACGTACAAAGAGATTATGTCTATCAACACTTACAGAGAGATCATGTCTATCACCACGTACAGAGAGATCATGTCTATCACCGCGTACAGAGATATCATGTCTATCATCACTTATAAAGAGATCATGTCTATCAGAATGTACAGAGAGATCATTTATATCTCCACGTACAGAGAGATCATCCATATCACCATGTACAGAAAGATCATGTCTATCACCACGTACAGAAAGATCACTGCTTTAATTATTCATGCAGCATGGTAACAAAACTTAAAATCAATCTCATGAAGCATCTACACATAGCTACAAATGTTACAATCAATCTCATGCAGCAACTACCCATAGCTACCAATCTTATAGTCAATCTCATGCAGCATCTACACATAGCTACAAATGTAAGAATGAATTTCACTAAGCATCTATACAAAGCAACAAATGTTATCAAATGTATTGCAGCATCGCGACACGTGTTTCAAGTAATAAGCGCAAAATTATCTCTTACAAATTGCGCCAAGGGATATGTGTTGGTCTCTACGCAATTAATCTTTAGGCTAACTGGCTTTAATGGTGTCATTTTGGCTATTGACTGGAGTAGTGAGACATAACTTGTTAATTGGAGTAGTGAGACATAACTTGTTAATTGGAGTAGTGAGACATAACTTGTTAATTGGAGTAGTGAGACATAACTTGTTAATTGGAGTAGTGAGACATAACTTGTTAATTGGAGTAGTGAGACATAACTTGTTGATTGGAGTGTTGAGACATAACGTGTTGACTGGAGTGGTGAGACATAACGTGTTGACTGGAGTAGTGAGACATAACTTGTTAATTGGAGTGTTGAGACATAACGTGTTGACTGGAGTAGTGAGACATAACTTGTTAATTGGAGTAGTGAGACATAACTTGTTAATTGGAGTAGTGAGACATAACTTGTTAATTGGAGTAGTGAGACATAACTTGTTAATTGGAGTGTTGAGACATAACGTGTTGACTGGAGTGGTGAGACATAACGTGTTGACTGGAGTAGTGAGACATAACTTGTTAATTGGAGTGTTGAGACATAACGTGTTGACTGGAGTAGTGAGACATAACTTGTTAATTGGAGTGTTGAGACATAACGTGTTGACTGGAGTAGTGAGACATAACTTGTTAATTGGAGTGTTGAGACATAACGTGTTGACTGGAGTGGTGATACATAACGTGTTGACTGGAGTGGTGAGACATAACGTGTTGACTGGAGTGGTGAGACATAACGTGTTGACTGGAGTGGTGAGATATAACATGTTAACTGGAGTGGTGAGACATAACCTGTTAACTGGTGTGGTGAGACATAACGTGTTGACTGGAGTGGTGAGACATACCTACTTGACTAGAGTGGTGATACTTAACGTGTTGACTTGAGTGGCGAGATATAACGTGTTGACTGGAGTGGTGAGACATAACGTGTTGACTGGAGTGGTGAGACATAACGTGTTGACTGGAGTGGTGAGACATAACGTGTTGACTGGAGTGGTGAGACATAACGTGTTGACTGGAGTGGTGAGACATAACTTGTTGATTGGAGTAGTGAAACGTCGTATTTCAAGTTGATTGGAGTAGTGAGATATCGTATAGCCAGTTGATTTGAGTAGTGAGACGTCGTATAGAAAGCTGATTTGAGTAGTGAGACGTCATATAGCCAGTTGATTGGAGTAGTAAGACGTCGCATAGACAGCTGATTTGAGTAGTGAGACGTCGTATAGACAGCTGATTTGAGTAGTGAGACGTCGTATAGACAGCTGATTTGAATAGTGAGATTGATTTGATCTTTATATTGCGCCGGTATCCATGCCATTGTAGCATGCGTACTGCGCTCTGATCCTCCGAAATCTATCTAAACAAAAAAGTTTTTAATTGTTTCGTAAATGATTTTTTATCATTTGCAATTCCCTTCAAAGATTGAGGCAAACTGTTCCATAATTTTGGCGCTATCGCTTCAAAATAGCGCACTCTTTACGACTCTTTTCTGTGTTTATCCACACTAGGAACACCCAGCAAGTACTGTGATGAAGACCGCGGGCTCTTCACGGATACATGTTTATAAATCAGTTCCTTGAGATATTCCGGTGCTGAGACGTCGTATAGACAGTTGATTAGATTAGTGAGAGTCGTATAGACAGGTGATTGGATTAGTGAGACGCCGCATAGACAGACAGTTGATTGGAGTAGTGAGACGCCGCATAGCCAGTTGATTGGAGTAGTGAGACGCCGCATAGCCAGTTGATTGGAGTAGTGAGACGCCGCATAGCCAGTTGATTGGAGTAGTGAGACGCCGCATAGCCAGTTGATTGGATTAGTGAGACGTCGTATAGACAGACAGTTGATTGGAGTAGTGAGACGCCGCATAGCCAGTTGATTGGAGTGGCGCGGCGCTAAAATTATGAGTAGGATTATGGGGTCGTTGTGTTAACAGCTGGGACGCTAGTGATTGAAATAAATATTTATAGCCAAATCTCCTATAAACTACTTTAATTATTGTAGCATTCAAAAAGGAGTCCCGGAGAGAGAGTGGTAAGAGAAAAGTTAGACAGTTAATGCCATCCCAGCAGAGGAGTGCATCAAACATCAAACGTTCAACCAAAAGTGTAATAGGCGATGAACAACATACATGTATGCATGGAGGGAGTGAGGAGACAGTGCTTTTCAATTAACTTTTGCGGAGTTCTACAGACGGTGTGCTGGGAAGTTTTCACTGAAGTTTGCTTTCAACTCAATGGCGTCTCATAGAGCTGACCTCCAGGACATTGGAGATGCTTGTATGATCGCTGATACTCGCCTTTGAGAAATCCTTTAAGTGCTTAACGTTCAAATGTTTCTGTATTATAGAAATGTGTATCCATATGTTAAAATGAATATTTTTACTATGTAATAATAGTCGGTCGAAATCGCCTACGACCACCTTAATCATCGTTTAGTGACCTGAGTGCGGCTCGGCCAGTCGGCCACAAATCGGTTTGGACACCGACAAACATGGTTCTTTACCAGTTCTTGAAAAGAAATTTGGCTCTCAATTATTTTTGTTAAAATCACCCTTCTGCCGATTTTTGGCTCTTTTGACTAATGAGTTTGCCGACAACTGGTTTAGGCTCATCGTGAACTTGGCTCGGTGTGCGCAGATGGCTCACGAGACCGAGTCTGGCACGAAATGTTCCTTTGCCTTTAAGTGCATGGGATATGATGGGATATCTCCAGGTGCAGAGTTAACCTGGGCTTTTATGGCATGTCTTTTTTTATCTTCAGCCACTGTTATGTCGACTTAATGTTGTATGAGGCCTTTGTGTACATTATCTTCAGCCGCTGTTATGTCGACTTAATGTTGTATGAGGCCTTTGTGTACATTATCTTCAGCCACTGTTATGTCGACTTAATGTTGTATGAGGCCTTTGTGTACATTATCTTCAGCCGCTGTTATGTCGACTTAATGTTGTATGAGGCCTTTGTGTACATTATCTTCAGCCACTGTTATGTCGACTTAATGTTGTATGAGGCCTTTGTGTACATTATCTTCAGCCGCTGTTATGTCGACTTAATGTTGTATGAGGCCTTTGTGTACATTATCTTCAGCCGCTGTTATGTCGACTTAATGTTGTATGCGGCCTTTGTGTACATTATCTTCAGCCGCTGTTATGTCGACTTAATGTTGTATGCGGCCTTTGTGTACATTATCTTCAGCCGCTGTTGTGTCGACTTAATGTTGTATGCGGCCTTTGTGTACAGAGGAATGGCACGACGCTCGTTACTTTGCCACTTCTCGCCATGTGTCCGTGTCTATATCGAGCGCTTTCCGTGAGGTTTTAATGCCTTGAAGCGTTTCTTATGACCACCCACAGTTCACCCTCCGTGCTCGAGATCACCATAGAATCTTCTGTTGGCACTAAAGCGGTAAAGATGCTGGTGAGACTTGCCTGTGCGAGCAACTCTGGGTCTGGAACCCTGCCCTGCAAGTTTATGCTTAACATTTTCTGAAACTTGTCCCATGAAAGGGGTTCACTATTGTTGCATGGCGTTCATGGACCATGCACGTTTCACGGGCATTGAGAAGCACAGGGAGCACAATCGCCTTGTATACCTTCATTTGAGTTTGAGTGTTGAGACCTCGCCTGGTCCATACTTTCTAAGACAATCAGCCATAATTTGCACTAACTCTTGCAGTACAAAGTTTCACCTATTCATCGGTGTTGCCGCTTTGGGAGAGTCGGCTGACAAGGTATGACAAATCATTTACCACTTTCAGCCTCGCAATATACTTGAAAGACTGGCTCAACATAATTGCTTCGAGAAGCTCGTTGCTAAAAGACATCGGTCTCTTTTGTTTTAATGGTTTATACAGAAGTTTGTGCAGGCATTGGAAAAATTAGTAACATTGCATAAATATTGGTTACTGTTCAAGCACTTTTGGTCCAATAGTCCATTTGTCACGTCTCCCCATTTTCCCGAACCGCAGCCTGCAGACAATCGTACCATTGAAAGAAATCTTCTGGCTTATCCATATTTGACCATGATCTTACAAAAACAATCTCTACTAACAGTGTCAAAAGCCTTTGCCAGGTGTACATAGGTGTAGAAGAGGTCAACATTCTCCTACTTGCATTTTTTCTGCAGCTGCCTGGCCGTTAACACCATATCAAGAGTTTCACGTTCTTCACGGAAACTACATTGACTTTCTGGCAGGACACGCTGCTCAAGATGCGTCTTAAGCAATATTCTAGCAAATATCGAGAGGAATTATCGGCCACGATGGTTGATGCAAGATTGAAACTTCTTTTACGCTTGTGCATGCGAAAAACATTTGCATCCTTGAAATCTTACGGAATCGTCTCTTTCTGCCACCTAATTAGTAACAGTAGGTGAAGCTATTCAGTCAGAGCTATGCCTCCTTCTCAGTGGCGTAGCTAAAGGGGTGCGAGGGTACGGACTGCATCGGGCGACACCATCCCAGGGGGTGACACAAAAATAAAAAAAATGCATATTTACAGAGCATACCATGCTCGGTGTGGCCGAATTTAATAAAGGATAACCGATCAAATGTAAATTTTCCACACATGTAACCAATGTAAATGCGTGCTTTATTAAAAGTTCAAGGTTGATACTTCGGAGTTAAGGTGACCCTAGATTTACATTTTAAAAAAACACCGCTTTGCCCATGATTCAACGGCGATAAAAGTGTTCGGTCACTTTTGAAAGTGACAGAAACCTTTATTTATCTAAATTCTGAAAAATAAAGCTGTCCATCGCTAGAAAACGCGACGTGGTCTGGCGATTTTAAGTACATGAATGGAATCAGTAGAAATTAAAAACATTTTAAAAATGACATTTTCCTCACTTATAAGGTAAACAAAACACTATTACTATTGTTACACAATTTTCTAATATCTTTTAGAAATTAATTTGAATTTCTTTTAAGTTTAAAAAAAATTTTTTTTTTGAAACCAAGTACAGCGAAGCCCAGAAATAATCCCCAAAAATATTTTTTCGCCGATTCGACACTAACAAATCCCCCTAATTTAACATTTTAGTAAAAATTTTCATACAGCACAATGTCTTTTACATGCTGTCTGTGATTTCACGTTTCTCTGCTAACTTTAACTTTGGGCTGATCTACTCGACAAAGTAGCAACCAACCTAGAGGCCTTAGCGTTGTTGCTGCACAGGAAGCGCTGTCACTTGGTGGAACATGTTACTTAAAAGGCATTTTCAAAATCAGACCAATATGGAATTTTGAAAGAGAAGATTAAGGTTTAAGAAGAGAATGGCAGGAGAACAATTAATAGATACTTGACTCTCTCTGCGAGTAGAAAGCAGTATCAGATGTTTTCCTTCTGAACCCCAGATCACCTCATCAGCGAAGTAGCAAATATGTTTGGGGTTGAAGATGAGTTATCGGTGTCCGTTCCAAAATTAAAACTCTTCTCTATGATGAGTTATCAGAGGACGCACTTTTAAAAGAAGAACCAAGGTTTAGAGGACATCTAAAGGCAGCTGATATTGAATTTCACAAAGTCTTGGAGTGGTCAATATTTGATGATTGGAAATTCATAGTTGAATGGGACTACCTAGTATCCCTTCCAATCAGTTGTTTCTTACGATCTGTGTATGTGTGGTTTCACTTAACCGGAGCTTTCCAAAACTAAGGCGCACCAAGAACTGATTACGATCCACCATGGGACTGTCAAGCTTTCTGATCTGGCTCTAATATCAACTGAAAGTGGCGCAGTCAAGGATATGGGTTGTGATCAAGTGATTGACAGGTTTGAAACTTTGAAGACCAGGGAAGGGAGCTTTTTAATAATATAAATTTAATGTAAAAATTACTATAACTTAACGTTGTTACAGTTCTTAAATACATTTGCCTCCTGAACTTTAATTAAATTTGTTATTGTTCTTGTCATTGTTACACTGTCGACTTATTTTTAAAAGGAAGGTATCCACCGTGAAAGTGGGGAAAGCAACAAAACAAAAGGGGGGGGGGGTTCGAGTTTGATACCACGAGTTTACCGCACTGGATGACATCAACCCTAGCTACGCCACTGTTCCTTTGATATATATTTGTGCTGGGATCGAGTCATCACCTGGGGCTTTGCCACTCGAGAGGAGACATATAGCCTGTTGGGTCTCGGTTACAGTAGTCCTTGCAAAGTAGTTGCTAAGACTCCTTATTGATTCAAATAAATGGAACTATGTTTTTGGTCCCAGAGGCACGAAATTGTCTTGAGTCTTAAAACTCTTTGTCAGATTATTTGCTGTGCTCTGAAGCAAGGCATTCGGTTTATTATTAGAGTTTCTGAGAGGTGGATGGGCTCTAGACTTTCTGAGAGGTGTATGGACTCTAGATTTTCTGAGAGGTGGATGGGCTCTAGACTTTCTGAGAGGTGTATGGACTCTAGACTTTCTGAGAGGTGTATGGACTCAAGACTTTCTGAGAGGTGGATGGGCTCTAGACTTTCTGAGAGGTGTATGGGCTCTAGAGTTTCTGAGAGGTGTATGGACTCAAGACTTTCTGAGAGGTGTATGGGCTCTAGAGTTTCTGAGAGGTGTATGAGCTCTAGAGTTTCTGAGAAGTGTATGGGCTCTAGACTTTCTGAGATGTGTATGGGCTCTAGACTTTCTGAGAGGTGTATGGACTCAAGACTTTCTGAGAGGTGTATGGGCTCTAGAGTTTCTGAGAGGTGTATGGGCTCTAGAGTGTCTGAGAGGTGTTTGGGCTCTAGAGTTTCTGATAGGTGTATCGGCTGTAGAGTTTATGAGAGGTGTATGGGCTCTAGACTTTCTGAGAGGTGTATGAGCTCTAGACTTTCTGAGAGGTGTATGGGCTCTAGAATTTCTGAGAGGTGTATGGGCTCTAGACTTTCTAAGAGGTATATGTGATCTAGAGTTTCTGAGAGGTGCATGGGCTCTAGAGTTTCTGAGAGGTGTATGGGCTCTAGAGTATACGTTGCCATTTTGAAAAGAATCTGGGCTTTGTGTTCGAGCGAATGATCAGTTTTATGTCTAACAGACTTGTTTTAATCACGCCATTTGTTTACAAGATAACGGGTCCTTTGTTTTCAAGAGGGCGTATGTGTTTTCAAGATGGCGTATGTTAATATGTGTTAGTTGGTGCCTAGAACGTCCAAAAATTTAACTTAAAAACTTTTACTCACTTAATAACGTAATATAACAATGTTAGCCATGTTAACATCACTTGAATCCAAGGAAGACGTACAAAAAACAAAAACAAAAAACTCCAAAAACTAATTCAGAAATGTCAATTGAAGCATAAGTTTTTTGTATATATAATATAATCAAAAGACATTGCCGTTATTTTAGATAAATAAAAGAATATTATCTTATCTGCCTACTTTTGAAGATGTTCCTAATTTTTAAAATCATCCAATCCTTGCTAGTCTCTGGTGGCATAAGGGGGGGCAGCGGATTGCTGAAAACGGCGATGCTGTAGTCTGCACCTGGAACCACCGGGGTCATGGGAAATCGAAACATCACCTGATCAAGAAATCAAAACAATAATGACCTTGAACAAATGACACTTCCGGTGTATGTACACTCGCTCATTACATGATAAGTTATTGAGACAATAAATTCTGCTCTCTAAAACTAAGGTAACTTGATGATTTTACGAGCTCACACAATAAATAATGCTCTATAAACTTAGGGTAACTTGGATGATTAGCCGAGCTCACATCAGCGTAGGTATCCGTTATGTTGGGACTGATCTTGAGCAAGCGGCAGGCAGTAGTAACAGAGCCGTTGGTGTAGCTCCTAGAAATAATCGTGAAGCCTTGAGCATCGAAGGTCACTGAAAATAGAATAGAAAGCATTTAAAAGTGACTGCATTCAACCAACATCGTATGCATATCACTCAGATAACGCTAGCTGGCTTCATAGATGTAGAGCGCGGTTAAAAATTCGGATATAGATATCATTCATTCAACAAAGATCATATAAATATAATTCGGTTAACAAACATTATATCACGTTATGATTCGCATGACCAATATTGAAATAAGAAGACAATCGTTATTTCTCAGAATACTTACTGGGAGGCAGGCTCCAGAGTAATTCCAGCTTGGTCGACACGGAGCCGTGCGCCTCCACGTCTATGAAATCCGCTCCAACTTTCTCCGGCGGTTTGGCCGGCATGTCTGCGACAGCGGTGAACTGAGGCGTGGTGAAGGCCGAGAAGCGCCACATTTCTACATTGTCGTCACAGACTGGGTACAGAGGAGGGAAAGCGTCAAGAGAATAACTCATGCCATGTAGTCTACCGATGGGTTCAACTTCAACAATATATTTCGTTCAACAGTTGCTCGTTAATCAGGAGTACCAAGATTGAGGGAAGTGCCCCCCAAAAAAAATAATTTAAAAAAAAAAAATGGCGATGCCAACACTTAGATGAACAAAACTTTTATTTAAGCTACTTTATCCGTCTTCCCAATCCAACAAAAACTATACAAAATGTAATGTATACTAAGCTACAGTGCTCATGAAAAATATTGATACAATACAATGGTAAAGAAATGTCTTCGTGGTAAAGAAATGTCTTCGTGGTAAAGAAATGTCTTCGTGGTAAAGAAATGTCTTCGTGGTCAAGAAATGTCTTCGTGGTCAAGACAATAGTTTGGTACAAAATAAATGGTCAAGGAAAATAGGTCAATATTTACCAACATTAGAACTCACACAGTGGCGTAACAAGAGGTAGTGCCGCCCGCGGCGGGCCAAGAATTTTGCCGCCCCTTTTACATTAAAAACCTCTGTAGTTGACCGAAAATGCTGCCCTTTCATATAAAGATAAAATGTGCCGCCCGGGAGTTTCTGGATAGAACGCCCCATTCTACGCCACTGCTCACACATCACAGTCTGCTAGGTCTGTGTGCCAGATAAACGTGCCCTCATTAATATACATGTACCCAGGGGCGTCGTCGTCCCCCCCCCTGTGGTGGAAGCCAAACTCTACCCCAGCCCATGGATACTGCATGCATTGGCTTTGAGCGTTTCTTTCAAATCGTTGTGCGTGCAGTCTTGAAAGTGATAGACTATATACTATGTGAATAGTTTTTAGGTAACATACTATGTGAATGCATAAGTTCTTATATTTGAGGGGCCCACGATCAATTTGTTGATCATTCTGGCTCCTGGTTTAAATTCAGAGTTTGCCTTCTCTTAGATGGGTTGTCGTCCAAGGCTAACGGGTCCCATCCACCCGAAGTGCTTGAGATGTTGGCATTGGTGGGGATTGAACTCCAGACCACCATATATTTGGCTTGGGACAGTTTAGACAGCTCGGCCACCCATCACCCATTCACATATATGAGTGTAGTCATTGTACCGTACTATGGGAATGCATAGGTAACATTATGTGAACGTAGTCATACTTAACACGCTGCGTGAAAGTACATTGTAAACAATCGTAGCAGTTATTGAAGCAAACAAGACACAGAAAATTATAATTTTAAAATCATATAGTGTAAAAATATTCTTTCTTTGAAACGGGACCATGTAATATTGCAACAAACAACATGGCATTGAATAAACATCAAATGATCAACATGGCATTGAATAAACATCAAATGATCAACATGGCATTGAATAAACATCAAATGATCAACATGGCATTGAATAAACATCAAATGATCAACATGGCATTGAATAAACACCAAATGATCAACATGGCATTGAATAAACACCAATTGATCAACAGGGCAGTGAATAATTACCAAAATGATCAACAGGGCCGTGAATAGACACCAATTGATCAACAGGGCAGCGAATAGACACCAAATGATCAACATGGCATTGAATAAACACCAAATGATCAACATGGCATTGAATAAACACCAAATGATCAACATGGCATTGAATAAACACCAAATGATCAACATGGCATTGAATAAACACCAAATGGTCAACATGGCATTGAATAAACACCAATTGATCAACAGGGCCGTGAATACACCAATTGATCAACAGGGCAGTGAATAGACACCAAATAATCAACGGTGCCGTGAATAAACACCAAATGATCAACGTGGCGGTAAATAAACACCAAATGATCAACAGGGTAGTGAATAGACAACAAATGATCAACAGGGTAGTGAATAGACAACAAATGATCAACAGGGTAGTGAATAGACAACAAATGATCAACAATGCAGGACTGTAAAAAAACAAGAGCTTCTTGGAAGCATTGAAACTAATTTGGTTAATTAAAAAAAACGTTCATAAAAAAAAAAACTATTAGAAACGGAATAAAACAGAGCTTACTCATTAGCTCCAAACATGGCCTTTCGGTTGGCTGCATAGGAAAGGCATTAAATCTAGTTGTAAATATTATTATTCATTGGTAGGTGTGATAATTAAAAATTGTATCATTCAATGGTAGGTGTGATAATTAAAAATTGTATCATTCAATGGTAGGTGTGATCATTAAAAATTGTATCATTCAATGGTAGGTGTGATAATTAAAAAGTCTATCATTCACTGGTAGGTGTGATAATTTTAAATGCTATCATTCAATAATAGGTGTGATATCTTCAAATTATATTATTCAATTGTAGGTGTGATATCTTCAAATGATATCATTCAATAAAGGGTGTGATATCTTCAAATGATGTCATTCATTGGTAGGTGTGATATCTTCAAATGATATCATTCAATAATAGGTGTGATATCTTCAAATTATATCTTCAATTGTAGGTGTGATATCTTCAAATGATATCATTCAATAGAGGGTGTGATATCTTCAAATGATATCATTCATTGGTAGGTGTGATATTTTCAAATTATATCTTCAATGGTAGGTGTGATATCTTCAAATTATATCATTCAATTGTAGGTGTGATATCTTCAAATGATATCATTCAATGGTAGGTGTGATATCTTCAAATTATATCATTCAATGGTAGGTGTGATATCTTCAAATGATATCATTCAATGGTAGGTGTGATATCTTCAAATGATATCATTCAATAGTAGGTGTGATATCTTCAAATGATATCATTCAATGGTAGGTGTGATATCTTCAAATACTATCACTCAATGGTAGGTCTGATATCTTCAAATGCTATCATTCAATGGTAGGTGTAATAATTCAAAATTATCCCATTCAGTAGTATGTGTGATATCTTCAAATGATATCATTCAATAGTAGGTGTGACATCTTCAAATGCTATCATTCAGTGTTAAGTGTGATCGTGTCAATAATAATATAATGTCATGTAATGGTATGTAGGATAGTTTTAAATGTTATCGGGCCAGATGGGCAGGTCATGTTACAAGAATATCAAACAGCAGACTCTTTCAAAAACAACACCAACTAATGTTCGGTGAACTCGCCAGAGGGAAATGCTCAACTTCTGGGCAGACAAAGAACGCTTCAAGGACTCTTTCAAAGCATCACTCAAATCCATGAACATTGGCCTTGATTCGTGGGAAGCACTTGCTCTGGATCGTACAAGCTGGGGTGGCAGACTGACTGCTGGACACAATCCTTAGAGAATAAGCGCAACGCTCACGCCCAAAGAAAGTGCCCAGCAAGGGAAAGCAGAATCGACTCAAAAACAACGTGTATACCACGTGCGGGAAAGCTTTCCGGGCACAAATAGGACTGGTAGGCCACCTGCGTACTCACCGTGGAATATAGCCTTTGTTCACTGGTTTGGTTTTTATTTCGCCGCAGAAGGCTTTACTTCAATAAAAATTAATAATATATTTATTATAGTTTGATTATTTTTTTAAATTTTATTTTTAATCATGCTTTGAAAAAAAAAAATCTTTATCTTGTTTGTGAAAATCAACAACTGGTTGGTTTTTTTGTTTTTTTTTTTTTTTTTTTTTTTTTTTTTTTTTTTTTTTTTTTTTTTTTTTTTTTTTTTTTTTTTTTTTTTTTTTTTTGTTGTTTTTTCTGTGGGTTTCAAAACCGAAAAACCAGTGTTCGAGTAACGTCCTTATTAATTAGTTAAAAAATACCTGGACCGGTATCAGGATAAAAAAAACTTCCTTCGGCTCAGTACCTTCTGGCATAGCGTTAAATAATTGAAATATCCTTACTCCTCTCCCTTTCAAATTGGGTGCTTTGGCTATTTGGCCGACAGCGCCCTGTCATTGCGCGTGAGCTCTGTCACTCAGTGAACCTTTCCTTACCGATTCCTCAGTTCCTTCTATGGTAGCTATGAGCGGACATTGCAAAACCGAGGGTGGCGCGCCCACCGGCGGCACTAGGGTGGCAGACAAGAGCAAACAACAAATCATAGACAGCCAGGACGAAACTTGCATGTTATAGGGCAGTAGCATTTTCTTCTGATTCCCTATACCAGGTCAGTCTATCTGATCATCTGGCGGCTTAGATCTGCAATCAAAACAAAATCATTACTTTATATCATTGGAACTGATATTTATATTTTTTAAAAATAATTTTTTAATGAGATTGTACTGTTATCACTTTGACCCCAGTTAAATCTTTAATATGATGTATATAGATATATATCTGTATATATATAGGGTGGGCCAATAAAAATAAGAACATCTCATAGCATATGAGTTATTTCAAAATATGATTTAATTAAGCATAATTCTTCATGGAATTTTTTTTTGCAAAATATTTAGCTAACCAGAAATCATGTTCAATGTGTTCTCCTTGCTTCTTAACTATTTAAGCTAGTATGAGTATAGTTAAACTAAATTTGATGTGATTAAATCACATTTACGAGATGTTCTCACTTTTATTGGCCCACCCTATATATATGTACAGATATATATCTATATACATCATATTAAAGATTTAACTGGGGTCAAAGTGATAACAGTACAATCTCATTAAAAAAGTTATTTTAAAAAATGTCACCCCCAGCCCCCAAAACCATTGAGAGTGTGTGTATTTTCTTGTGCGTGCATGTGTGAAAAGGGCGTGTTTGGTGAATGTACAAGAAATTGTTGCGTCATCTCAGGTTTAGCTTTTGTTTGGCTTGCTCTGATTGGTTCTTTTCCTTTCATTTAGAAGACATGGCCAAAATACCAATGACGCCATAGACAACAATGTTATCCTATCTGTGTCGTGTTAAGCCCTTGTTTTATCCCATTTGGGCCTTGTTAATCCCTTGTTTTATCCTATTTGGGCCTCATTAATCCCTTGTTTTATCCTATTTTGGGCCTCGTTAATCCCTTGTTGTATCCTATTTGTGCCTTGTTAAGCCCGTAGACGAAAATTATTAGGCAGAAATTGTTCGAAGGAATAATTTCAGATGACGGAAGTTTGAATTTCAAAATGAAAGGTGTTAATCTCGGGGATTTATTGATGGATTGATTTATAAATAGATTTTGAGGTGAATGGGCGACTAAGGAATCGGGGAAATGTCAACTTTTTTTTTTAAATTGGGGGGGGGGGGGGCTTTTTTTTTTGAAAACAACCCCCATTCGAGCAAATCTCTGTACAAATCTCGGTAACACTTTAAACGCAGTCCAACCTAGTCTAACCTTATGGGCACAGCACCATTTAAAAAATTAACATTGTATTTTTTTTTAAATCTGAATTTGAATATTGGTATACTGTCACCAGTTCACCGGGTGTCAAAATGATCGCCAGTTCACTGGGTGTCACAATAGTCACCAGTTCACCAGGTGTCACATTGCCCCCCCCCCCAGTTCACCGGATCACTATGGTCACCAGTTCACTAGGTGTCACATTGGTCACCAGTTCACCAGGCATCACAATGGTCACCAGTTCACTATGGTCACCAGTTCACCTCACAATAGACATATAGGATACTCTATGCCTCACATTAGGCCTATAGGATACTCTAAGCCTCAGATTAGACCTATAGGATACTCTAAGCCTCACATTAGACCTAAATATACTCTAAGCCTCACATTAGACCTATAGGATACTCAAAGCCTCACATTAGACCTATAGGATACTCTAAGCCTCACATTAGACCTATACGCTGTATGATACACAAACTCCCATAAGTTATACTTAAAGATCCCAGTAAAATAAATATGGTGGCCACAACGCGATGGCGTAGGAAGGTGTGGAGAAAGGGTGCGGAACTTTAATCATGTAATATGGGGGGGGGGGTAGTTTTGCCCATGAAAGGGGGTCGGTAAACTTCCCAGTCCGCCGCCCCCTCCCGGCGGCACTAGCCCTAGCTACGCCCCTGCCAAGAAACCTGGCTGGGAAGCTCAGGTCTTTGTCTTAGTATACACTTAACAATGTTAAGTGAACTACATCGCTTGCAGGAACCAACGGCTAATGGTACCCGGGTGCGAATGGCGGCGCTGCGTGTTTGACTCAGTGCTATTCGGATGTCATTTGTAATAGTTTATTTAAGTTAACTGAAGAATTAAGTTTACAAACATATAATCCATTCAATTATCTTTCAATTGTCTTACAAACCCAACAATAAAATTTTAAATAGTTTTTTAATCTCAACCGCTCACTTCNAACGAGAAACAAAAAGTGTGATTTCACATATTAACCTTTACCCCCCCCCCCACCCCCAGCTGTCACCCTTTCTTAGAACCCCCCCCCCCCCCCCCCCCAACACACACACACACTTTTTTTTCTTCCCCTGAGAGTGACGTACTTTATGGACGGCCTTTTAGTATTCAAGGACATGACAGTAAGCAGATATTTGCCCAGTATTTGGCTTATTGAATAAAGAAATAAAGGTTTAACAAAATTAGCTATAAACAAAACCAAACGGTTTTTAAAAAGTAATTTTGATCTATTCCAGCTCGTCGATTTTTTCAAACCGACACCCCCCCCCCCTCCAAACCAACGTTTCTTTTCAAGTGGCACCCACGTTACGTGATGTGTTTTGCCACAACCTCGCGACGTCTTTGTATATTATATCAAATAAAATTAAAATAATAACGGATCTATTTGTATCTTTTTTTTTTACTCATTCAAACATGCCGAAGGAGTAACGGGAAAAGGGGACGTGGTAAATGAGGAGTCGGGCTGATAAAACCCTTACACTGTCCGAACACTTACAGCTCGAAGATATGATTTTTATTTTCTTTATTCCTTTCATTGTTCTTTTAGTATCAAAATTACCTGAAAGGTCACTTGAAATTTTGCTATAATTAGGTTTTTACACAAGATCGGTTTGGCGGGGCTGTAAAGAATAAATACAGTTCTATCAATAAAACAAAAGAACATTGTATGTATGTATGGCATCTTTCTGTCTGCGGGAGACGATAAATTATCTTTATTGCTTGCAACTCTTGGTGTGGCTAGTGAGACCAATCCTCGAGTGGCAGTTGCATTTCCCGCACACGAATGCGGTGGAGCAGTAAAAGAAAATTAATTGCAAACATAATTCAACAACAGCATACAAAATATAATTTTCACCGTATTTTTATCAACTTCCGTTTTTGCCACACCCACTCCTTATTTCCCGCGGTGTACATAAAAATAACTAACCTTCACCTTGGGGATATTTATCAAACTAAACTAATTTTCAAATATTAACAGAAGACAACAAAAACCGAATACTTTATAACTCGACGCATATAATTGTCCAAATTACGAGATTAAAATACTAAATAAGGGTACCCTAAATACCCTAAATAAGTAAGTGCATTTCTTAAATCGTATTTATTTATACATGATGTTGGATGCAAAATTATAATCGAATCAAATTATATTTATAATATAATTTATACTATACTACTATAATTTATAGTAGTATAGTTATTTATAGTTTAGGCAACGGTAAACGACTCGACTGACGCGTATTTTTATCTCAAATTCATTTGGTTTACTTTAATTATTTATGAATTAATGACATAAATCAAAAGGCAAACCTTGAAATTGAAACCAGTGATCGTATTTTTAGAGTTTTCAAAAAATATATTTAAAAAAAAAAATCAAATAATATGCCCAAAAAAAGAATAAAATAATGTCAATGGGGAAAAAAAATCTAGGTTTTTATTTCACAAATTTAAGTATTTCTCAATAAATCCCAAATCATCGTTTACTAGGACTAGGCCATGAAAGCAAATATCAGGTACCCTAAAATGCCATGCCTTACGCCTACGCCCGTACTGCCGTACTTATTGTTATACTTATCCACTAACTGTTGAAAAATTAATTGCTATTGTCATGTCATATGAGGCTTTTCAACACAGATTTTCCCTTAAAAAAGTAATTCTAGAAACAGAAACTCCTTGGCAGTAGAACAAGATCTCAGAATCAAGTTATTAAATTTTCTTCATAATCTAAAATCACACTTATCAGACTTATCTTTAATTTATTTATTGGGTTTTAGTTTTAAATTACAATTTTTGTAAAATAAAATGGTTCCTAATTATAATATATGAAAATTATTAATTTAAATCTGTTTTGTGTTACTTATAGTTACATATAAATTATAAATGATACAATACAAATTATAGTAGGTCACAAAGCATAAGAAGTATAAAATAAATGTGTCATGGAAAAAACTTGAGAAACGCGCAACACTGATTTATTTATTTATAGGGCTTTATCAATAAAAAACTGACTTTCCTTACTTAATAGACATTAATTAATTGTGCTAGGGGTTGTTCGTAAATTATGTCACGCTAAAAATGACCCTTTTAGATCCTCCCTCCCCCCCCCCCCGTCACAAAGTATCACAAATTCTTTAACCCACCCCCCCTCTCTACCTCCCCGGTCACATTACACCTAAAAAATTTCAAATCATACATAAAAACTGACTTTCCTTACTTAATAGACATTAATTAATTGTGCTAGGGGTTGTTCGTAAATTATGTCACGCTAAAAATGACCCTTTTAGATCCTCCCTCCCCCCCCCCCGTCACAAAGTATCACAAATTCTTTAACCCACCCCCCCTCTCTACCTCCCCGGTCACATTACACCTAAAAAATTTCAAATCATACATACAATTTTCATAACTAAACGTATATTTTATTTTATTCTTTAAAATTTTCCCATAATGGATTAAGATGTAGTGTAATTATAAAACTAAGTTTCATAGTACCTATGATGCGTGAAGCAATTACAACCTCAAATTAATTTTTAAAACTTAATTATATAAAGATCTTTTAAAAATTAAAAAATTTTAGAACTAAAAAAAAAAAAGGAAAAAAAGTGATATCACAAATTTTTAGCCTCCCCCCCCCCCCCACCCCACCTTTTTCCAGCCTGAGCGTGATGTAATTTGCGAACCACCTAACCCTATTTTGTCATATATGGCAGTGTTTTGGTCTCTATGGAGAGCACTAAAGTCTTCTTTCATTGAGATATTCTTCTTATAAGAAAATGTCAACTTCTGGATGACAGCAAGTAATCAATAACCTATTAATTTTTTTTCCATTTTTTTTTTTAAGATTCATTTTTAACTCCAAATATCTCTCAATAATTATTGGAATTCCCTTGCATTTTTTTCTTCATACTATGAGTTAGAGTCCTGGAAGGGGGAGATAACAAGTTCATAATTAAAAACAGTAAAATAAGATCAGTTTAATGGCCTTGAATTTGCAATGCCAAAAATGCCTGAATAATAATTACAGATACTTAAAAAAATTATAAAAATGAATACAAATTTAAGAAAATGAACAATTTCATTTGTATTGAATTGATTAGGCTAAAATATTAGCTTACATCACCCCCATAATAAAAGACTTGAGATTGGCTGGCTGGTCTTTGTACAAGCTAATCTGATTGGTTTTAAAATGGCACCTTCCATTGATAAGTTTACAGTGTTTCTTTCATTTAATATTTTGTTTAAATAGTACCTAATGACCCCTATAAATGCTTAAAAATATGTGAACTTGAAATCTGCCAGAAGGCATGAGCTCGTGGAATATTTTTTGCAGTTTTTCACACTGAATCTCATTCAAATATTTGTTATGACTAATTTAAGCAAAGTGTTAAAAAAAATTGCAAGCATAAATAAAATATGCATATTAGGATATCTCATTTGACTAAATGTTGAGATTTCTGTCTCATTTGACTAAATGTTGAGATTTCTGTTTGATTCATAAAGATCTTATGAGTTCATTCAATTCGCTACAAGAATATAAATTTTTTTATATTTTTAAAATAATTATTAATTTTTTTATTAAAAAACTTGCAAAATAAGTGAAGGGCTTGTGAAAAAGGCTCAGACAGTCCAAAAAGGCTCATCTTTAAGAGGGTTAATAATAATTTGTTATAATATTTTTAGTTGGCTACTTATCGAATGACTAATTCATGGATTTTTTAAGGCTAATTGGGGGATGTCTGGATCTAGAAGAACTCTTTAAAAAGTGTCAAATTGCTTTTTGAAAGAAGTTAAGTTGTCATTCTCATTGGTTTACTTCCACTGGTTACAATTGGTGGAAGAGTTTAAGCTGCATGGGTACTTTTTACTAATATCATGCAATAGCATGTAGGTCCTAATCTAGATGTGTATGTATGTCTAATGTATATGTATCTATAACTTATATATGGTGCTCTAGCTGTTTGCACCAGGGGTTCTTAAACTATTGGAATGCTTTATCACTTAAATAATATACCACAAATGAAAGTATAAAAATGTATATACTTTTGTTTTTGGAGCTAGATATGTGCATATAGTCTCCCTATATGTACCAGTTTGAGAATCACTGGTCTACCCTACAAAAAATTAATGATCTGTTGTGTGTTAGAAGTTAATAGCTCTCCTTAAATTTGTTAAAACTTGAAATCTGTTCTAGGAAAGAAACTTTTTTTAAAAAAATTTAATTTACTTACCCATTGTTCATGAATCCACATCCTGTAGGATGACATCACAGTGCTTACCCCTACATTATTTTCATGTTGAGCTCATACAGCCATTCCCTCCACTATTTTCACAAAGTTCATGAAATAAAATATCAAATGTTTTGTTACTACATTAGATATATTTACATACAAATATATTATGTCAGTGCTACAATAGTTACGTGCTATTATAACTTTTAAAGCAGCATTTACTATAATTTTCTTTATCTCTATATCTATATATATATATATATATATATGAAGAGTCAATTTTCAAAACGCGGTATCCGACATTTTAAAAAAAAATGAGATAGCTGTATATTCTTGTAGAGCAAACCAAGCTCCTTTAGGACATGTTAAAGACTTGAATGTCTCAAACACAAAAGAAATGGTTGTTGATTTCAGGAGGGGGAAACACCAGATTATAGATCTCAAAATAAAAAATCAAAATGTGGAGAAAGTGGAGGCATACAAGTACTTAGGTGTCACCATTAATAATAAGCTAACATGGCATGAGCACGGCCAAATGCTGTATAAGAAATTCAACCAAAGATTGTTCTACCTCAAAAAAAACTGTACAATTTCGACGTAACAAGCAAGTCGTTAACTCATTCTACAGTGCAACTATTGGAAGCCTGCTTAATTTCAGTATTACCTGCTGGTGTGGGAATTCAACGTCTGATATTAAACACCGCATAAACAGACTAATAAAGAAAGCTTGGAACATAACACAAACTAAACATCCTTCACATGAAGAACTATTTGAAGAAAGATGTTTTTGTAAAACTAAACACATTTTGGATGTTAGATTCAACCCTTTTTATCACAGATACTTAGGATCGAGCCATTCGGGACGAATTCTTTCCATCAGGGCGAGGACTGACAGATATAAAAAATCTTTTGTTCCCCAATCTGTACGAATTTACTGGCGTGCTTCCTCTGAAGTCACACATCTGAATGAGAACTCATAAGTCCCCGATATTTGCCAAGAGAACTCACTGAATGGCTGTTTGAAATAATTTATTATAAATGTCTTGTGTTCAAATTGTTTTATTTTTGAGCTGAAAATGTATAATAAATGCAATCAAAAAACATTTCCATTTTTTTGGATCAATAAAAGAATCTTATCTTATCTTATATAATGTATATGATACAATTTAATTTTATTTTGTTATGTAAATGGTTTGTAATCTATAAATTTCTTGAATTATTTGCTACTGGGAATAATGTTATGCTATCAAAATGGATATACAGCATTTTGTCGCTAAGTTACAGCTGGATACACAGCATTTTGAAACGAAATAAGAAATTCAACCAAGTAAATAAATTCATATTAATTAACCTACATTTAAATTTTCATCATAATCTAACTTATATTTTGAATATATACCTAAATTAACATTTACTTTTCCGAAAATCGAGCAATCATTGTGTAGCAGTGAGTAGCAGAAAAAGTCTATCTCAAAAACGCCAAAAATGGAGATACATCATTTTGAAAATCGACTCATATATAGATAGATAGATATATATAGATATATATAGATATATATTACATTTACCTTGATTTGATTTTTTTTTTAGTTTTAAGAGGCAGAAAGTCCTAATCAGGAAATATTAAGCAAATTTTATTCATGAAAAATTATTGTATTTTTAAACTTTACTTAAGAATGTTTCCTACAATAAACATACAACAAATGGCTTGTGAAGGCAATGAGTTGATAAGCTTATATATGCAGCTAGATTTTTAATTTTTAAAACTTTGATACTCAATTCATGGGGGTTAAATAAATCATTCACAAAAAGAATTTATTATATAACATTTTCACTAAGTGCAACGCCTTCACTCTCAGCTGTGCCAGTTAGTCCCCTAGCATCACTTTCAGCTGTGTTAGTTGTATGTCATCTGTCTTCTGAATGACTATGTCGTCGGTGTAAATTGTATCTTTTTTTAGGAACCCGTTACCTAATAGTCCATCGCCCGTAATACTTTATAATAAAACTTTTGCGGGCTGAAAGAAAAAAAGTACAATTTACACCGACGACATAGTCATTCAGAAGACAGATGACATACAAATAACACAGCTGAAAGTGATGCTAGGGGACTAACTGGCACAGCTGAGAGTGAAGNCCCTCCCCCCCCCCCCAATTTAAAAAAATGATAAATCTTACCTTTACATTGGACCATTACAATTCCAGCAAATACTTAGCGAGCATGACGTAAGCAGCAGAAAGTAAAGCTGAAATTAAAATAAACTGGGTGGTCAGCTCTAAGCTTGTGTTGGTCCGTTCTGCCGCCTGAGACTTTGGCTTTGTATTGTAGTGGGTTTGGTCTAGTCCCGGTGTTTCACTTTCGCCTGACTTCAAACAAGTGTTCTCTCCAAGCGTATTTTCAGACGCAATCTTTGCTGATGTCACTTGCCAAACGGACGCCCCTTGTCAGAAGTTCACTTTATCAGATGTTGGTACCTGGACGTTAGGAAGCATATGTTTATTGACGGAACAAGCGGCATTGAGGGGTCTGGTGGGGGAAGGGGACCTTCCCTGATTAAACTTGTGGCAATAGGTGTTCTGGTGGGGGACCTTCCCTGAATAACAAAAACGACATTATGATGTCTGGTGGGGGACCTTCCTTGACTAAACTTGTGGTAATAGGTGTTCTGGTGGGGGAGGGGGGACCTTCCCTGATTAAACTTGTGGCAATAGGTGCTCTGGTGGGGGACCTTCCCTGACTAAACCTGTGGTAATAGGTGGTGGGGAGTGGGTACCCTTTTCTAAAAACAAATGTAATAATCGTAAGTGCGGACACCCCCCCCCTTCTTCCATCCATTTAAGTCCTACTTAGTTCTACACAGTCCATGACATACGAATGTCATTGTGTCTCATGGTTCCCCAAGCCGTTCATTAAATCACCATAATCAATGTCGCCAGTACCTATGGTGAACCAAGCCAATAGCCCGTACCTTGACTAAATAGCTGTAGGACCGGCTTTATTTTGAATTCTGGAGCAACCTAAAACGAAAAGTTGCAAGGGGTCTCCAAGTCACTCGTAATCATGGATTATATAACTTATTAGTTGGATTATATAATGTACTCATAGTCAATGTTCCCTCAAAGGTTTGCTGGTTCGTGTGCAAAAATCACACAGTTGTGTGCAAAGTTTTACAGCATCAATTTCTTTTGTGTGCAAAATTTTACAGCCTACAAACACAAACCCACACTTACATGGAAATTTGCTGCGCGGATATTCAAAACTGCTGCGCGGCGTCTGTGAGTGAGCTGCGAAGCCGCGCAGCTTAAGGGGAATATTGCTCATAGTACCGTTCTGAAGTTTGTATTATATAATTCAACCTAAATAGTCTTATTCGTGATGATGGTACTGGAGATCTTTGTAAAATTATGTCATGTGTATTACATCTCATTTAGTGTAATGAATTACGGAAAATAGGTAATTGATGGTCCACATTAAAAATCCTTCATTATTACTACCCATTTCAAAACTACGAGTTTGTTAGAGAGCATTAGATCATCTATCTAGTAGAGAGCTGTAGACCCTCTATCTACTAGAGAGCAGTAGACCTTCTATCTAGTAGAGAGCAGTAGACCCTCTATCTAGTAGAGAGCAGTAGACCATCTAGTAGAGAGCAGCAGACCCTCTATATAGTAGAGAGCAGTAGACCATCTAGTAGAGAGCAGCAGATCATCTATCTAGTAGAGAGCAGTAGACCCTCTATATAGTAGAGAGCAGTAGACCATCTAGTAGAGAGCAGCAGATCATCTATCTAGTAGAGAGCAGTAGACCCTGTATATAGTAGAGAGCAGTAGACCATCTAGTAGAGAGCAGCAGACCATCTAGTAGAGAGCAGCAGATCATCTATCTAGTAGAGAGCAGTAGACCATCTATCTAGTAGAGAGCAGTAGACCATCTAGTAGAGAGCAGCAGATCATCTATCTAGTAGAGAGCAGTAGACCCTCTATATAGTAGAGAGCAGTAGACCATCTAGTAGAGAGCAGCAGATCATCTATCTAGTAGAGAGCAGTAGACCCTGTATATAGTAGAGAGCAGTAGACCATCTAGTAGAGAGCAGCAGACCATCTAGTAGAGAGCAGTAGACCATCTATCTAGTAGAGAGCAGTAGACCATCTATCTATTAGAGAGCAATAGACCATCAAGTAGAGAGCAGCAGACCCTCTATGTAGTAGAGAGCAGTAGACCATCTACCTAGTAGAGAGCAGTAGACCATCTAGTAGAGAGCAGCAGATCATCTATCTAGTAGAGAGCAGTAGACCATCTATCTAGTAGAGAGCAGTAGATCATCTATCTAGTAGAGAGCAGTAGACCCTCTATATAGTATAGAGCAGTAGACTATCTAGTAGAGAGCAGTAGACCATCTATCTAGTAGAGAGCAGTAGACCATCTATATAGTAGAGAGCAGTAGACCATCTAGTAGAGAGCAGCAGACTATCTATCCAGTAGAGCGCAGCAGATCATCTATCTAGTAGAGAGCAGTAGACCATCTATCTAGTAGAGAGCAGTAGACCATCTATCTAGTAGAGAGCAGTAGACCATCTATCTAGTAGAGAGCAGTAGATCATCTATCTAGTAGAGAGCAGTAGACCATCTATCTAGTAGAGAGCAGTAGACCATCTAGTAGAGAGCAGTAGACCATCTAGTAGAGAGCAGTAGATCATCTATCTAGTAGAGAGCAGTAGACCATCTAGTAGAGAGCAGTAGACCATCTAGTAGAGAGCAGTAGACCCTCTAGTAGAGAGCAGTAGACCCTCTAGTAGAGAGCAGTAGACCCTCTATCTAGTAGAAATGTTAATGTATGGCTTATAGATTCTTTCTTTTCTCTTAAAAAATCTTCAGCCTAGAGTCTGTGTCTATAAATAGTAACTTGCCTGTAATCAATATGTTCCATTTAAAACAAGACTTGAACTTAACACTTCGGGTAAATATGTTTTAGATGTCAAAGGATTTCCTGTCCACCGAATTGAGTTGACTTGAGCCAAGTCTCTTTGTTTCTCGTTCTTTAGTTTAGTTTTGCATGTCAAGCTTTCGCCTACCTTGATCACGATAGTTCTCTAGCATCGCAGTCTCTACCTACCTTGATCACAATAGTCTCTACCATGTAATCCTTTTTATTTTAGAGCTGGGTTCATCTGGGTATTTCCCCAACACCTGCTGCCAACCAACTATGCCATCTGTCAAGATTGAGAGTGCCAACGCTGGTTGCCCCTAACCATTTCTGAACCTGGTACTTTATTCTTTTCCCGACTTAGGATTTTGGGGTTTTCATTCTTTGAAAAGTGATTATGATAAGAAGTAAGCCGCAGGCCGCGCCATAAATCGCACAGTGTAATTGTAAGTGGTATAAGAAAACTCCAGTATTTCCGCCATTTTGACAATCTTATTTTGTGTCAATGTCTTTACCATTGTTTGTTGACTTGGTTTTTAATGCATCCTCTACTGTACTGAGTCTACTCTTATTGGTTTAATTAGCAAACACCTTTGTGAACATTGTCTAGACTGGGCCCTACCGATGCTATGCTGCTTCGTGTACTCAAATTGGCTTTCATTTAAATGATCTCAAACGACATCTCGTCATGTTTGTTTTGTTGTTTTTTTTAAAATTCAATAAGAAACTCCACTTACCGGGACGGTGAACTCAAGACAATTAATTTTTATTAAAAGATGTTAATAGAGGTGATGATATTTTGTTTTCTTGGCCTTGTTGCGACGTTGTGGAAACGTTACGTCACTGCAGCATAGACGCTTTCATTTAGCTCACGGCGTGGGAATGCAGGAAATCCCGATTATTTGGTGTGAATTATTTGAGATGCTCCCATCTTGAGTGGTAGTTAAGTAACAGGGCTGTCAAGGCGGGCAAACTGTATGGCATCTTTCCGTCTGCGGGAGACGATAGATTATCTTTATTGCTTGCAGCTCTTGGTGTGGCTGGTGAGACCAATCCTCGAATGGCAGTCTCTGTTGCCTTTCCCACACACGAATGCGGTGGAGCAGTATTTACCGGCCTTCCTCCTCGCTCTTTTTGCAGCTGTTTCCGCCCTGTTTTGCTCCTCGGCATGTAGTGATCCTGCAAACTATTCCAATAGAAATCATCAAATCAAACAGATGGTTTTGTACTGACTTTAAATGTTTTGGCGTTTGCCCGCGGCTTCACACGATCTGATTTTGGGATTTAGATGTTATAAAAACATTCCTTCCTCTATATCTTGAGGGCCCACGATCAATGCATTGATCCCTTTTTTTTTTCGTGCACGTAAGGGGATCATAGTAAGGGAAGACGATTGTCTAAGCCAGTTGATTTCCTCAACATCCCTCCTTCCTACAGCACCCCCCTTCCTACACTACCATGACTTCCTACACCATCTCGCCTTCCTACAACACCCTGCCTTCCTACGCCATCTCGCCTTCCTACACCATCCTGCTTACCTACACCCTCCTTCCTTCCTACACAATCCTGCCTTCCAACACCATCCTGGCTACCTGCATCATCCTGCCTTCATAAACCATCCCACCTTCCTACACCATCCCTCTTCCTACCCCATCCTGCCTTCCTACACCATCCCTCTTCCTACACCATCCTGCCTTCCAACACCATCCCACCTTCCTACACCATCCCACCTTCCCACAGCATCCCTCTTCCTACACCGTCCTCCCTTCATAAACCATCCCATCTTCCCAAAAATCCCTCTTCCTACACCATCCCCCTTCCTAAACCACCATGTCTTCCTACACCATCCCACCTTCCTACACCATCCCACCTTCCCACAGCATCCCTCTTCCTACACCGTCCTCCCTTCATAAACCATCCCATCTTCCCAAAAATCCCTTTTCCTACACCATCCCCCTTCCTACACCATCCTGCCTTCCTACAACACCCTGCCTTCCTACACCATCTCACTTTCATACACCATCCTGCTTACCTACACCATTCTGCCTTCTTACACCATCGTGCCTACGTACACCATCCTTCCTTTCTACACGATCCTTCCTTTCTACACCATCCTGTTTACCTACACAATCCTGCCTTCCTACACCATCGTTGCCTTCCTACACCATGCTGCCTTCTTACACCATCCTTCCTTCCTACACCTTCCTTCCTACCTACATTAACCTTCCTACACCATATTGCCTTCCTTCACCATCCTGCCTACATACACCATCCTGCTTTCCTACACCATCAAGCCTTCCTACACCATCCTGCTTACCTACACCATCAAGCCTTCCTACACTAGCCTGCTTGCCTACACCATCAAGCCTTCCTACACTAGCCTGCTTGCCTACACCATCAAGTCTTCCTACACTAGCCTGCTTACCTACACCATCAAGCCTTCCTACACTCGCCTGCTTGCCTACACATCAAGCCTTCCTACACTAGCCTGCTTGCCTACACCATCAAGCCTTCCTACACTAGCCTGCTTGCCTACACCATCAAGCCTTCCTACACTAGCCTGCTTGCCTACACCATCAAGCCTTCCTACACTAGCCTGCTTGCCTACACCATCAAGCCTTCCTACACTAGCCTGCTTACGTACACCATCAAGCCTGCCAACACTAGCCTGCTTGCCTACACCATCCTGCCTTTCTACAGCATCTAATTCAGCCCCTCAGTGGGTCTAGTTATTTTTAAACATCAAGGTTATGGTCACCTTATACAGTTCATAGAAGTCCCTAATTCAAAAGATATGATTCCTTGTCCAATTTACTCTTAGAAAATGTAAAGTTAAAAATGTCTCCTGATTCATTTTGATAAGGTTTTGGTATTTTAGTGATACTTACCAAACTGCTAAAGAGGTCTCGAGGCTTCAGAAAAATTGACGTGAGGCTTCATGGGCTAAGAATGACCAAGTGAGAGTGAAAACAGATGTGATGTGAACAGGTGTGTGTTTGTTTTCACTGTGGAAGGATGTATTTGACCTTTTGACGAGGAGGAGAAACTTTAATTTTATTTATTATTTTGAAAATGTATACGTTCTATACAGATATATATGTGTCTACCCATTTGATTTATTATGTACTGGTACAAGGACACGTCACTGTAAAAATAGTCAATGCATAATTTCATGTTTTAATGAATTTCTAAATTTACTTTATCAAAAGTAAAGTATTCCTCCACACTCCAGGTCTCATGTACATTTTCAGCACCCGCCCAAAATCCACCCCTTCTCGAGGTTCCTTAAATATTTTCTAAGCAGATAAAATGACTTTGCTCAACAAAAAAATTTGGTCAACCCCAAGACTAGGGTATTGTACTAGTTAAAATGTTCTGCACTAGGCACAAAGCGAATTCATAGGGACTGAGAAGTTTGATTTGTTTCTGTTAACTTAATGTGTACTTTGTTTATCTTGTGATAGATATATCAGCTGGGCTGCTCCAACCGTCTCACCATCTGATCGAGCTCAGGATAAGACGTAAGGGCAGGTCTTGAATATGACTAATGAGAAGACAGCGAGTCAAGTGGGCGAGAAAAGGGGAAAATCTTCTGGGAATAGCTCAGCTGAGGTTTTCATTGTTATCCACAGATTTTTTTTTCAAATGAATTTAAGTATAGAAATATTTATTCTTTAACTTGGACTTGAATTGTTCCCTATACCCTTCAAATCTATAGCCTTGACCCAACTGTTTTAAATATAGTTATTTTTCATGGTTTTGTCAATGAAATTTATGAATGCCTTAGAATAGACATCACATCAACACAGATAGATTATAGAGAAGTTTTATAACCATTTCTCAATACCTGATAATCATCAATTCTAATATTAAATAGTGGAAACAATTTATCAAAATTTATTCATTTTTCAGAGTTGTGAACCCAAAGTAAGAAAAGGCAGAGGACGGCCAAAAGGGAGCAAAAATAAAACCAAGGAAATGACCGCTCATGTAACAAATATTTGTAGTAAAGTAAAATATGTTTTTTGTATATAAATTATAAATTCTTTTGAAAAATAGAATTGAAACTTGACATATATCTTTTTTGACTGAAAATTCTATATAAATAATTATGTGATGCATATATATGATTTATAAATTTTAATAAGTACCATGTGTCAGTTATTGGTAAACTAAGTGATGTTAACATTTACCATTGACCAAAAGAACTGCTTTCTCTGTTAAAATTAGTTGTTCATAATCACAGCATGTTTAGAGCCCTGCGATCTTTTACAAAGTATTTCTATGAATTTTATCATTTCTGTGTAAAATGGAATTTTTTGTTTGGTTAATTAATCCCCACCAAAAAACAAATGTATTTGAAGAGATTTAAATGCTACTAAAATTGCCTCAGGTATCTAGAGGTCAGACGGCATCTACTAGACAGGGTACAACAGAGGTAAGTGTTGACTGTGTTATTGGCGCAGAAAAATGCCTAAGTTTCCTGTGGGTCAGTGCCTGTCTTAGCTGAATTCTTACAGGATAAGTTGATAAACCTTTAATTGAGGAGGTGGAGGTTATATAAGTTACATCGCTTTTCACTTCCAGACATACATGGGAGCATTTGGATTATTTTATTTTAAAATGCTGTCAGATATTATGTTCAAATGTTCACATTAAATTAATCATAGTATTGTATTTTGCTTCTTTATTAAGTTTTAAAAAAAGAATAAAAGAGAAAGCACATTCAGATTTATGCTAGGCTTACAATTTCATTTTAAACCATTTGTATAGTTTGTAACTTGCAATATTTATTTTTATTTTTCTAAAGCTTTTTTAATTTGATATCCCAACCTGCTAACATCACTTACTGAACTTAACAGCATTTTTTATGGAATTGTTGAATCCTTTGTTTTATTAAATATATATTTATTATCTGCAGAGGTTTCCAAAATGAGTCCTTCTTACATTTTTTAAATAATGTAACAGAAAGTTGCAAATGGATTAAAAAATATATTATATTATCCATGTATCAAATTCTTTTTTTGTAATCTGCAGACTGATGAAAAAAACAATTTGGAGGAAACCAAAGAGACTGGCAATAAGGACTGAACAAAGGGACTAATACATTTAAAGGAAGAACAAAAATGAAGTGGAATCTCAGCACAATGTCTTGACAATTCTTTTAGAAATGTGTTATCCTGCCTGATTTTATTTTTATCGAGCACAAATTTTACCTGGAAATTTAAACAAAGAATAAATATTTCAATGTACTAGGTGATTAACATCTTTTTGAACTTTGACTTGCCTTTATCTTTAATCTAATTCACTAATTTTGATAAAAAATATTCCAGTATGGTTTTAAAATTACTAAACTTACATGTTTCATTTGCTTATATTTACAAACTTATTTTATATTATTATATGCTCTATTCATAAAAAAATTAATATAATTACATTACAATATTTAACCTATAAAATATAGGTAAAGTGTTAAAATGCAATACTTCATACAGCAGTTGTTAAGAAGCCAAATAATTTTGAAATCAAAATGCACCACATCAAAACATGCCCCATAAATCATATTGAAATGTTACCAAAGAATTATACAATAAAAAATTTTTTTATTACTCTTTGTGTCTTGTTTTTGTTTTCCCCTTTCTATTAAAGGTGAAATTTAAATGAATCTATCCTATACATCTGTATGACAAATTTTTTTGAGTATATGGTCTCTATAGATCATTTTGTTTAAAGTTGGATTAATCTTTAGTGGTGAATTTATTATTTTTAAAAATAATAATCTCAACCCACCAGGTTCTTTGTGGCAGTTAAGAAACTATTGAATACTCTGCTCTGATATCCTCATTCTGT